TAAATTAATGGGGTCAAGATTAATTTACTTTTCAATAGCGTAAAAAAGACATTTACTTACATTGAAGATCTCCAAATAATCTCTTGAGTATTTCAAGAGCTTGATTTTATGTTATTTTTGTACTGCATTTTAAGCCATCAACCATTTCCTTTTTCTGAGCTTTCAGGTTTTAACTCAAAATTACAATCACAAGAGTTCCAAACTTCTTTTTGCTAAAACTGAGAGAAAATAAGATACAAGTAGTACTCTCAGCTAGTTACATGTATGCCTCTACATGCACACAGCTCTGTGAAAAACATTTCCTTTTCCTCTTGAGTTACTATCACAGCACTATATTGCCTAAGCTTAAATACATATACCAGGTGTATTAATTAAATTAACATCAAACAACAGGAGAGAAGCAATTAATAAGTTCATGTAGAAGAACAAGAGAGAATTACCTTGAAAGTTGACATGCGAGTCCCAGATGGCGGAATGCATGAAGAATGGTGAATGTATCTCCTCAAATAGACATGAATGAATTATTCCATGAAATAGATCCTCTGCTATGTACTTAACCCAACAACAATTTCAATAGATGGGTCTATAGCGAAGGAAAGGGTACAATGGCACTGGCTTCTTCATCAATTAAGCCCAATTAATTGCAAAGATTATGAGCTGTATCAATCATAATTACACCAGTTGGTTAAGAAAATCAGAAGAGGTTTTGGCTGCCGTTCTTTCAATGCTGGTAGATTTTTTTCAGAGGTCTCTGGCTTATAAAGTGACACCAACAAACATTAAACCGCACCAAAATCTGTTATGTAACTTGCCGCACTATTAAGCACTCCTCAAGCTATCCTCACTATGGTCCTGATATACCTCAAATAACGCTTGCTAATTGTTTCCGACAAGTCCACGGATAAGGGAAAGAGAGGAAGGGGAACTACCCCCTTTGAAGTATCAAAGAGTAATAAGCTCCCAAACCTGAATACAGAAAGCAATTCTCCTGCCGAGTTTCCACAAAATTTGCTATCCCCAAATGCAAGATTATTGGCTCATAAAGCTTCTGTCGTCTTCAGTGGTTGTAGCGCTTGATTTTCCTTCTAAATTGGCCAACCCTTGGTAGTAATCCTAGCGCAATATCTCAACCTGGGGCTGTACTATCTAGCTGTACAGCTGATCAGCATTGTCATTTTTAATCAAGGCGTGAGCGGTTGAGAGTTATAATGCTCTTTCCAGATCTCTCAACACTAACCAACGCAGATCTTTCATTAAATAATTTCACTTGTTATCTGGTAGGTGTGGGCTATATTGACATGCAAGGGGATTCATCAAGGTTAAGGTTGGCTAAGGGATACACTGGCACATAACTGCAGGGGAAAAATACACAGGGCTCGGGACCAATAAGCCCCCGAAAAGCCAAAAAGAGCCCTCGAAAGTCATAAAAGAGCCCCCCCAAATTTGCATAGAGTTCAATGCAAAACAAATTAAAGAGTGTAATTTTCATGCAAGCAAGCTTGAAAAGTAGCCCCCCCCCAAAAAAAAAAAAAAAAAAAAAAAAAATCAAATATTTTTCCCTGCATGGCTGATTACTGCTAACATGATAAACATTGCTTAATACCTCTACCTTAAAACAACATCTGATCATTCTGAAAATAGTTTGTGTTTTGAAATGATTTATAATTTCTAACAACATTTTCATGGAAGGAGCTTAACATTTAGCTATTTTCGAGGGGAAGGGGGGAGTTGGAAAAAAGGGGCTTCACATTTTCAATTTCCTTTACTGTATACAATTTGAACCATCTGTTCATATTTGCAGGGGCCGTAGTCATACAGCCTTTTCACACACAGCTAAAATTCATCGTATCTAGTGATGATTAGAATCATCGTAAAATTTTAAACATGTTTATAGACAAAATTTCCCAGTGTGAACATCGTTTATACGATGTTGGGATAGATACAAAGTCGCGATCCATACGCCCCTAAAAGCAGGCTGCAGATACGAAGTTCGTATCTAGAGAGCTTGACATTTTGTGTGTGAAAGGAAATTCTTGTTTAAACGTGTTTAAACTGGATGGAGCGTGCGCTTTGATTGACATGACATGACCTTCAATGCGCAATGGCACTACTGCGCATTTTACGAGCAGTAGTTAATCACGAAACAATTAACGATCGCACCGAAATTTCTGTGTGTGAAAGGCTCGTGATTAGTTTAAACACGTTCGAAACACGTTTATACTAGTCATGTTTATAGAATTTTAGCTGTGTGTGAAAAGGCTGATAGTCATGGGTCATCACTTGAGTACCGTATACCACTTTCATTGCAGCAGCAGCACCAATTCAGGAGTGCTGTTCACACTCAGTTACACCATCAAACCAACTTCACACTTCTTCTTTTTCTTCTTCTTCAATACATGTCAACAGACTTGCTAGTCCATATAAAGACACAGAAACGAGACACATGATCATGGAATAGAGCGATCTTTCAGGAATTTTAGTGCATGGGACCTAAAGGAATCCCAACACATTGATTTTTCACCATTTGGGGGGACAGTGAACCTGTCTAGTATTATAGTTCTTTCCTCAATTCCATTTTAATTGTGTGATTGAGGTATAAACAGTTCTGTTAAGTCTGGGTTTATATCTCAAATAGGTCAAAATATGAGTGTTTTACTTTCCCTGCAGCAGCCAACTTCATATGTGTGATTGAAACTTTGGTTTAGCTTGGGATTATATTTTCGATGTGGATTGGTGAAGATTGATGAGTTTACCACTTTCATTGCAGCAAAACCCTCACAGATCATCATAACAGTTGGGGGTCAATACACTTTCATCCTGACACAAGATGGCAGCAGATAATATCTCTCAATACATAGAGAGATTGTCTTAAAGTTTACTGCAAGCTAATTTTTTTGTAAGTTGAAAAATAATCAGTAACAGAGATATACATGGCTGAAATCATGTCTAACTGAGATGGACTTTGACTGAGGATGGATTTGGTGCACTTTTTGTGAATACTTCTTCTTTAACTGCTGCCCTATTAATAAATTCTAACTCTTCCACCTTAATAATTATGGTAATCATATGTATTATTGAATTAGTTGAGTTTTACTTAATTCACGCACACATGCACACATACAATAACAAACAATCATTGAGAAAAATGTCTTGAATATGAAAGTAACAAAATAAATGGGGAAAAAACATCTTAAAAATCTATATCATACTTCTGTATTAAGCACTGTTATCTGGAAATGAAAACAATTTCTATATCCAACGAAAGTGAGCAACGTTTCATTTCACAAAATGGATATAAAATGAAATAGAAGACAAGAAAAGGAATAAAACAAGATATTGTAATAGTTAAACAAAAATCATTTGGGCAAACATCCTAGGAAAAATATATGTTTGAAATATTGAATGCACCCATCCAATAGAAAACAGTTCACACGAATATACAAAAAACACAAATAATATCAAATTTCACTTGAAATCATAGAAAAGAATAAAGCAGCGCATAATTCATTGAACATTTAAAAACATGTAGCATATCAAATTAAAGAAATCATAAAATTATGGCAAACAAAATGCATCAAAATGAACAAATAACAAACAAACTCTCAGCCTGCAAAAGAAGAAGCAAATTAAAACATGCAGAAATGGAATTGAATGAATGAAATCAAATTATAACATGCAGTATATTCAGCTTTTTTGCAAATTTGGCATCTATCCTTTTCTTTCCTTTTTCTTTTTTTGTTCCTTCTCCCTTTAGCTTTAAATGAAGGTACAAGATGGAGCATAAAAATGGAATGATCTCTAACGTATAACAGAGCTTGACGTATTCATGAAACTAATGTATGAATGTCTTAATTTAAATCATGATTTGTATATGCAGTATGATGCTGAAAACTATAGGACTCAATTTGAAGCTCAGTGGTTTTAATGTAATTTGAATATGTTCTATATCAAAATGATAGAATGTAGTGAATTAATACTTTCACTTTTATGCACACATCCTGTATCTTCATGAAAGCTGATTGATATATTTGAGCTCTGTTAGGAATATTCCTGAAGTTGATGCAAAATAAAATAAGAAAGGAATCAAATGAGTTGCATGGGAACTTTCAAAAGGAAAAATTGGGAAAGGGTGAAATGAAATGGCAGGTGGAAGATGATCAATTATAAGAGAGCCCCCCCCCCCCTCCCCCTCCAAAAAATCAATCGTGGTCTAACGGATAAATCATGGGCAGTTGATCAACTGGTCTGGGATCAGAATCCTTGAAAAAATATTTACACTTGCCACTTTTAAACTTTGTGCAGCACCAAGTAAAACAATTTTAGATGATTTTAATCAGATATCTTTAGGGTCCTTGGGCATCCTTTCTATTTCTTTAAAATAAAAACAACTACAATTCTAATTGCTTTTATTGTGAATGTTTCCCTTTAAGTGAACGCTTGAAGAATGAAATAGCTATTCACAGCAATCATTCACAATAACCTTGCTTTCAACAATGAACATAATGCAAGTTTATTTGAGATATTCTAACAACTTGTCTTTCAGGAGACAAGTTTGTCATTTCTCTAATTCACTCTTCATTAATTTATGTTCTCTTTATTCAATATACAAAATATACCAACAATAATTTTTTTCTTTGTTTTTTTGTTTTTGTTTTTGTTTTTGTTTTTTGGGGGGGTTACAATTTTTTATATTTTGTTATATATTTGTTCATGCCTCAAGGATTGGATTGTTTAAAGCCCTTTGAAGAATAACAATTATTTGGATGTACAAGGATGTTCAAATGGCAGAGCAATCATACGCACATGGAGGACCTGACAAATAGGACCCTACAGTTAGTCTTATGGGGGCTGAAAATCAGTCATCAAATCAATGGATGGGGGAATATGGAGGGATAATGCCATTAATAGGTGGGTAGAGTTATTTAGATGCGAATGGGGGAGAGGGGAGGGGGAAGGGGGAGGGGTAAGGTGTTCCAAGGAGAATGAAATGAAGCATGCACCTGATAATCTTGCTGGGGGCGGGGTCTTTATCCCAAGTCTCTGAGCAGCAGTCAGCCCGCTTCCCTCGCTATACCGCTGCCTCCTCTTCGGCAACCCCGTCGTCCGTGAGAGGGAGGCGCTCCGTGTCAACCCTGTCCTCAGAACCACCCCGTCGGCAAACCCACTTCCCGTGATGGGAGGCGGGGCGCCGCCGTGCAGGGCGGGGGACAACGAGGGCGAGGGAGAGGATAGTGATGATGTTGTTGTAGGAGGTTGTTGATTTGATGGAGGTTGTAATGAAGGCTGAATTGGGCCTGCTGTGGATGTCTTGGTCTCTGTTAGGGGGTAGATTAGTACCAAAATATGGGGGACATGGTCTATACAGTCATGATCACAAGACAATTATATAAAATGCATGATGTCTGACTACTATTTAGTACATGTGTAGGTTAAAGCTTATGGATGATCATTTTAATAACGGAGAGCGATCGCACGATTTCACAGTCATGGGCTACTTGTCAATTTCTACCCTGTATCAAATGTATAACACTTTTATGAAACCTTCATCAAAAGAGGAAAACTTCCCCTTTTTGGATTTTCGCAGTGATACTGTCTTTATTAGGGTAAGCAATCGCGCTTCCTATAATGATTCTAATGATAATCTTAATAAAAAGCTGTTTTTGTTCCTGCAATATTCCTCCTTATCAAAATACTTGATAGGCTCTGGATTTTTTTAAAGACGAAGCAACCATAAACTGCAGAGTTCAAAAAAAAAAAAAAAAAAATCATCTTCAGATTCCCCAAATATCATTTTGGTTCAGGACTTGTGTATGAAATATCATCGAGAAGATTTCTACAAATGTTGGTCTTGTGGTATATGTTGACAACTGTGTGATTATCTATAAATGATTTGGAAAAAAATGATAACGGTCTAAATGTTCATTAGACATAATGATCTGTATGTGGTATGCTAATGTAAAATGAGCAAAGTAATGAGGATTATGATCATCTGATAATCTGGATTGTTTTTTACTAAAAATACTTTGGAATATTTCATGAAAGATGTTTAAGCAAAAGCAAATAAATTTCAAATGAAAGGGGGTTTGATCGCAAATCATTTTCATCCCAAAATGCAAAATGCAAATCACGCAAAATGCAAAACATTGATTCCTTTTGTCAGAAAATAAGAATGAAAGGATAAAATGACATAAGTCAACTGAGAAAAAACAGCATGCACATGCAATATATGCCAAAAAATATCATGCACAACACTTTACATTCACAAAGCATTTAAAACCACAAGTTTATCAAAATTCTTAATATGCACATTTCACAAATATAATACAAATATAATAAAAACAATTAAAATATAATCATTGAAAAAATGTTTTTTTTTAAAAAGGGCGATTAAAAAGACAGAAACATTAAAACTGCTTGGAAGTATGGTGTATTTTCACAGAGAAATACATGTAACGTGAGATATAAAAGACAATTTGCCACTAAGACAAAAAAGACAAATGCTACTACCTGCATCACGACACGTGTGTTTTTTTCACAAATTCCAAATACTCACCCATTAAAAATTAAACATTCAATAACATACATGTACATACATATAAATATGAATAAGGGGTAAATGATTTTGTATTTCCTTTAAATCTTTTGTTAGTGAACAGTTGCACAATAGAAGTACACTGTACTGCTAGTGCTTTAGGCTAAATGAATATTTATAATAACCCTACATGTATTTCTCTTGTGAGACTCAAATCTTAATAAAAACAATTAAGATTTCTCTCAGTAGTCAGCATAATGAGAAATCATTGACTAATTCAACAGTTATTGTATTTGATCGACAAGACAAAGTTAAAATTGAGTTGTGCAAATGTTGCATGATTTATTATTGCTAAATACAGCCATGCATAATTTATAAAGAAGTTGCAGCAGAGGATATTTAAAATAGAAATCATGAAGGCGAAAACAGCCTTAAATGATAATAAAAAGCAGTTTGATCTTTATTGGAGATGATTCAAAGTCAACGACTCCAAGGAAAAAGTGCACAACTCTAAAAGAGTGAAAATGACATTGAGTTTTGAAGGCTTCTAGCAAAAGGTGATTTTTGTATAGTTCATGCACTTTTTTTCAATAATCTTCCATTACCCTTTTATCCACTTAAAAAAACTTATATAAATATATTGAAAAATGCTACAAGTGTTTCGGTGATGGTGTACACCTTTCTAACTTCACGTAAAGTGCATATAGATGCTTTAGAATGATATCATCATTAATGAGTCAGAAAGATGTTGACTATGTGTAGAATGATAGGATTTAATGCTATTCCAGCTTAGGTGACAACTTGCTACAATCATGTTAACCTTTTTGTCATAGGCACTAATAATTAGAATCACAATGTAGTAATTATTTGTAGTACATGTACATTGTAGATCATTCCATTTTTTCACTGCATCGGGTTTAGCATGGGATATCTATTCCTTCTCTTTCATAAAGATTATGATGGACGGTGTGTGCGCTCTATAAGTTTACTCTATTATTATTATCATTATTATTATTATTAACACTAGGTTTCAATATGGATGGTCAATCATTATGCAATGGATTTGAGAGCTAGAGGAGTTCATCATTTCAAATATTTTCAATGTCAGGACGAATGAATGGTCACTGTATATTCCATTAAATGTGTTACTGAATAGATTCATTCTGTCTGGTTCAGCGTGGTTATCAGCGTGATTATCATAGCGACTATCAGATTGACTAATCAGAGTGACTACATCAGAGTGACTAATCAGAGTGACTACATCAGAGTGACTATCTGAGCGACTACATCAGAGTGACTACATGCAGTGAAGGGAACACAGAAAGTCATGCAAGATAAGGTTTACATGAACTAAATATCAGGTGGATATACTAATTTTTAAAATGCACAGAAAAATAGTAGATTTCTAAAGTGATGTGCTTTTTTATTCTGTTGAGAACCAGAAGGGTGGACACTCATAGACTTTATCAGAGTCAAAGCCCTTCTGACACTCAACAGACAACTCAATTTAAATTCATGATTCCAACGTTCCCAGAAAGTCAATGCAGCAATGCCTATTTGGCAGGCAGCATAACATCTTAAAGATTATTTTCCAGTTGTATTAGTTCCGTTAATGATTTATCAATCCTTACAATTTGCTACTTTACTACTGCTTAGCATAAATCGGTATGCACTTTTATGAACTTCTCTAGGGCAAAATATTGTCTGCTGAGAACAACAAAGGCCTTATTGAACTCATATTAATGAAATAACACCCTTCTGGCACTCAGCAGGCACTAGTATTAAGTCTGCAAGTGATGGGAAACGGTCATTCATTTAAGAAGGAAGGCAGGATGAAAAAAATGCTTTAGAAGTGATTAAGGATGCACCTTTTCTTTCAAGACATTAACACAAGTGAAGAATTTACATAGTGGTTACAGAATTTTGAAAGAAGAAAGGGTTGCTATTAAAGTGTGTGGACAAAAGTCACAATTAAGACAAATGAATGAAAACTTAGAGACTATAACAGACCACAGAAGAGGACTAGCTATACATGTGAAGATGACTAGTTATACATGTGTACATGTAGTCTTGGACAGGTACAGAACAAATGATTTCAAGTGCAAAAGCAGAAAAGAGACAGAGAAGTTATTCCCGTATTTCTCCACAACGATAACCTTTCACAAAATAGTTGGCATGTTCAAACAAATCAACATCAAGCAGGTAGAGAGTTTGTGCGAACCAAAGATTGACTTGGATTGCTGAAAGCAGTGAATGGCTGGCAAGAGCTGTTTTCCCGTTTCAACTCACATCACTCAGTTGGTGTGACTACTGCAGCAGAACATCATGCAAATATTGAAATATATTGTTTTGGAATGACAAGAATAGTCAGCTTCTGTTTTTCATTCAAATCGTTTTCTTTCTTCAAAGGGCTTACAATCGAAGGCCATGATTTGTATCTTTTATACAATGTAGGACATTATCTAAATCAAAATCAATCCCAAACACTCACTTTAAGTCTTCATTTCTTCATCCCAAAATACAATAATTACATTGCAGGCTCTGATGTTTATAATTCTATCTGAGATAGGCAGAACTCTCACTAACAATGTAATCCAAACAGAAGCTGACAGGAAGCATTTTCACTGCACAAGGTTTCCCTTCATCCAGTAAGAGGGAGAAAACCACAAACTACAGCGCAAAGAAATACCTGGGTAGAGATAAGGGTCGTCATAGGGGTCATCATCATCATCAAAGGCATCACTGAGTGGAGGAGGAGGGTTGCAGGATGCAGATCGGTAGTACGCCTCACCGGTATCATCGTCCACAACACAGTTTCTCTGTGACTGTTGGGATGACAGAGACCCTACGCTTGGTGAGTGGCTATACTCTTCACTCTCCCTACTGGTGTAAAACGGTGGCAACTGGCGACTTGTGGCCACTCCAAAGGAAGGGCGAGACTGGACCTCCCGGCTGCTAGACAAGCTTGGACTGTAAGTGTCAGAGACTTGTCCATGTTGACCTGAAGCTTCAAAGTGTTGCCATTTGGTTGACTTGGTAACATTCTTTGGGGGTAGCAGGTCGCTGTCAGCTATTGAAAAAGATGGGGAAGACAGCTCAGACACTGACCAGGAATCCCTGTTTATCCCCATGTTGGTGTCCGTTGTTGAAACCTGATCTTCTGGCATCATGTTTTGGGGGTTATGTCGACGTTGCTTTTGTGGGCTGTTTAGCATTTTGTTACTCTCTACACTTAAATAATGGGAGTGAGAACCTTGCCCAGTAAACCTGGAATCGTATCTGTCCTCTTTGTTCATAGCAGGCCCTTGCTTTACTTCCTGTCTTCCTCTGTTAGGTGTTTCCTGACGATGATGCTCTTTATTTCGTTCGGATGAAGTTAGATTAGTGATGTTTCTGCTGGTTGGATGATGGATCCCATCTGTTAAGCTGCTGCTGCTGCTAGATACCTTAGGCACTTGTTCCATAGGTTGGCTTCCTCTTCGACCAGGAACCCTTCCATCTCTTGATGCTGCTTTTGGTGGCAGTCCTGACATGTTCATCTCTTCATGGGACTGTGCACTTCGAATGGGATATCCAAGCAAAGAGCCTTTCGCTGACAAAGATTGGCTACGTCTTATTCCCTTCTCATAGGAAGGTGGCCGGGAGAAAGTTCCTGCAGCTTCCTTATACTTCCTCACTTTCCGCTCAAGGGGCTTGTTCTGAGACTTTCTTGGATTAGTTCGGCTCTGAGTGCTCTTCCTGGTTGCATGAACCCATTCCTTTAACTCCTCCTTCACAGGCACA